TGCCACAAGGGCCGCATCGATGGTATGTTCTGTTCTTAAGATTTTTCGGGTTGCAACCCTAATATAGGGGCCGTCATAATTACCAATAAAATTACTTTTGGGGAGTTCGTTATTATAAATATAGTATAATGGGCCCCAAGGCCCTACTCTAATTATTGAAGCCCTATGGTAGCCGCTAAGGGTCTTGGCGTTTTCCTCTACCGGTCCAACTGCCCAATTCTCACCGACTCCCCCGATTCCGAATTATAAGCATACCAGCACGAGTATTTAACGGATAACTTGAACCCTTCATGCAGGAAAGATTCAGGGATTGAGCCTGTTCAGGTTTAGTTGACACTCATACCTTGGCCGGCCATTGACTGCAAGACGTATCCCAAAGTTTACATTCGCGAACCCATGTTCGAAACTGTACACAAAAGAAATAAGTATATGTCTATTTTTAAACATCTGGAAGCACCATGTGCGTACATCGACAAGCACTACAGAAGTTACCTTGGTTTGCGTGCAGTATACAATCGGCAAAAAACGGTACGACATGATGCGCCATGTCCAGGACGAAGCTCCATATGGCCTAGAGGCCGAGAACCCTTTCGCCCATACATTCGGCATATTTCCTCATTAGCTCGATTTTCGGGATCTCTACGGTGTCCCAGGATAACACCTCATACAACCCCGATTACGAAACCCAAAGCCCTGAGCCCAACCAAAATCGCAAAACCTTGATGATATAGGGGCCTTAATAATTGGAACAGGGTCCATTATACTGCCAGTATAATAAGATAAGGCCAAACAAGTAGTGCTGGAAATTGTTGAGGCCCCTATAGGAAAGCCGTCAAGCGGGCCTTTAAAGCCCATCCCAAATGAGGCCGTCCATACTCAGCCAACAGGCAAGCCTGGAAAGTTGCAACCCGGGTTTAGGAGGATTGGTAAGACGATCCCCTAGGTTTTTGCCTTGAGGGCATGAGGATATTGATGTTCCAACTTCTTCGATTCTACCCTCAACCGCCAAATCCTAAGCCCTAAACCTACCCTAAGGCACCAAAGTAGTTCCTTTTGGGGGTTCATATAGAATCCTATAAAGTAATCCCAAAAAGGAACTACTATGGGGCCTTAGGGTAGAGCCACGGGTCCTCCCCGAGGATGTCAGCGTCCTCGATGACTCGTGGACCGATCGCTAAAGTCTGCGTGCAAGCCTTTGCGGGGCTGCTTACGGGTACCTTCTTTGTACAGCAGGTTCTTCTGATGAACCCCATTTAAATATATAGGTAAATATATGTGTGTATGTGTGTACATATACATATGTATGAATATATGTTATATAGATATACGCGTACACACACATATGTATATATATATACATATAATGTGTGTTTTTGTTGTCTTTTTTGACTGCATATGTATACGGACTCTACAAAAAGTATGGTAGTCCCAAATAAAGGTTTGCCCACGGATCTACCGACGGCCGGCTTTAAACCGCAGTGACCGAAGCCTAAGACCCTGAGCCGGCAAATGATGCCTACTTCAGGGTCTACCTATAGGCTATAGGGTCATACCCTGCCCCTTTTTAAAGGTACTTTTCTAAATAAGAGCTGAGAACCAAACCACAAAACTAGGTATCCTAAAGAAGGGGTATGGTATGACCCTCTAGGTAAGCTCTACCAGGAAACCCTAAGATTCATGACTTTGGTGCCTTTGATCCCCACAGCTTCCGTTGACGACCCACAATAGCCCGATGATGCTCTCTCTCTCTCTCTCTCCCTCTCTCTCTCTCTCTACGTCTCTCTATCTCTGTCTCTGCTATCACATCGAGAGGCAGGCCAGGCAATGCATGAGCCTCAGTCCTTCAAACACCTCACGAAACCCGACGTCCTTCCAGACAATTCTTTTAAGCCTTACAACATCTCGAAGGCTAAATCCCGAACTCAGGACATCCTGGGTTCCTGTAGGGTTTAGTGTTTAGGGTTTAGGATTTAGAGCCTGGAATGTCAGGCTCAGCTGACATGTTGGGAGCTCATGGTCACTGCAACTTCAGAGCAGGCGCAAAATCATATGGGTAGTTTTTAAAATTAGGGTCCCTTTTTGGGTACCCCTAAATATTAGGTGCCGTATTATAATAGGGACCCAAAAAGGGGCCATAATTTTGACAACCACTCATATGAAGAAGATGAGCCAAGCAGCTAGCTCAGACCACTTCGTCTCGACCTCGATAGCCTGAAACGGTAGTGCACCCGCGGGCTTTCCGTCGCCATCAGGTGTTTGCTTTAAGTGTTGCTTGGTTTTGGAGGGGAAGATGGGGGATGGATTCCAACGTTCCTAGGGCTGCTAGGTCAACAGAATGTCCAAGAAGGGCTTTACGCTTCGGGGTTTTGTGGGCTTGAGGATGCAACAGGCGGTATGTGGAATTGTTATTCACCGATGGATACACTATGGAAGTTACCTATACTGAACTTAGACCCGTAGCAAGAATCATAATTTGGTCTGCTTCTTAGGGCTTATATGAACCAAGACTCAAAACTATTTCTAAGTACCCTGAGTTATTTTAGAGTTTAGATGCTTGTGCTGCAACGGGCTTCTTGCAGTCGTCGGGCGAGGAATCTCAGCTTTCGGGCGTTTGGGGATTTGTTGGGTTTTGGGTGTGCGCGCATGCTGGGGCGTGGTCTATAGGCTTCAAGAGGTCAATGAGGCCTAAACTCCATAAACCCTGCAAGCAATTCAACAAACCACATTTCGGGATCAGCTTTGGTTGTATGTTAGCTGCCGCAGGTCTCGGAAGCCACAACGCCCCTAAACCCTGGGCCTCTGCAGTGACGACCCTACCCTACACCCCAATATAGGGCCTGAACAATTAGAATAGTGTTTTCGGGCCAAATAAGGTCAATTATACTATCATCTGATAAGGAGCCCCCAAAATAGTATTGGTAATTCAATTCTTTAGACCCCCATATTACACCCCCTCCACAAAACCCCTTATAGTAGCCGTCTTAGGACCCTTTAAAATTTTTAAGAACCCTTTAAAGGAAACCTATATGGCCATAAATAACCCTGCACCCGACACCATTCAAGACAAAGAGTAAATATCATTAGTGGTAATTAGCGACGCCCCTATCGTATAGTACCCTTATAGATCTCTTACCCTTATATAGCCTAGCTATTTAAGGCCCCTATATACTACCCCCTCCATAATACCCCGTGTAGCAACCCTTACAGAACCCGTCTTAAGAACCCGTTATAACGGAACCCTACATGGCCATGCACTACCCTACGCCCTGTGCCGTTCACGCGGGCGCGCCGCCTCTTTGAGCTGGCGCCCAGTCCAAGATGCTTCGCATCGGACAGAGCAGAGGGGTCCGGCGAGGCCTCGGATACCCATAGGCCCCAAAGTAGTTCCTTTTTGGGATTACCTAATCGAATTATATATATGAACCCCAACAAGGAACTGCTTTGGGGCCTTTGAGTAGGTTAAGGAAAGGGAAGGAAGTTTTTTTTAAAAGCTCCTTTTGGCACCTGCCTGATCATCCAAGCGAGTACAAGGCACATGTGTGCCAGAGAGAGGATGGGTTTCGGGTTTAGGGTTTAGGGGAGGAGGAGAGGAAGTGGGGAGGGGGAGGGCGTTGGGGGTTTGGTCCTTGCTTTTCTGATTGATTTGTTTATATATATATATATATATATGTCCGTGTTTTTTGTTTGAAGAGGGGGGCTGAACAAATGTCAGGCGAATTTGGTTTGGTAACGTCTGTTTTTTTTCGGGGCGAGGCCTGGAGATGAGGGGCCAGGCAAACACTCTGACTCCTACAGCACAGCCACCAGCAACTGAAGGTGTCTTTGGGTCTAGGGTTGTTTAATATGGTGTTTCTTAGGGTCCTTTTTTATCTGCTGGTTTTGGAGGTGGAGAGGGGGGGAGCCTCGACGAACAGCCCTTGGAGTCTAGGTTGAGGTTTGTATGTTAGGCGTGTATCTGTATATCTTGGGCACTTCCTGTTTTGGGCGCGGGCCTCAATGTATTCGGGGCTAACTTCCCCGAAACTCTAGACCACCCCCGCATCTCTCCGAGCAGCTGCTGATATGTAGCAGGATCGACATGGCCGAAGCGGCGTGGACCGCGAGGTGCAACCGATCAAGAGCAAGTACGAGTCCAGGGCTCAGGGTCGAAGGATGTAATTAAGCAGAAATGCTGCAAAAGCCAGGTCGGAAAAGCATGGTGCTGGCACGATGGCAAAACTAAACACGGCACCACTGCCGGACCCTCCACCCCAGAAAACCAACACCACAAGCTGTGCGCCCGCAGTCCCGCGAACATGTCCTTCATACAAGCATCAAATCCATCAAGCACGCGCAAGAATCTCAAGCCTTCCCACCTAGGTGTAGGGTTTCAGGACTCGGAGTTCAGGGTATATGGATTAGGTTCAACTTGTTGACGGACTTGTACCAGGCGAATGACATGTTTTAAGAGTTTCATCAAATGACGGACCTCGATGTAGAGACTGTGCGATGGCATGCGTTGTACAAGAAACCCTGAACGAAGGTAACCCCGAATTATCAGAAGCCCCGGTTTGCGGTAATGGCATGAATTGGTCTACGGATCCAATAAACGTGGGAGGTTCCTGGTTTCTGGACTCGGGTCGTCAGCGTGATCACCGAAGACTCAGGAATTCCAAACATCTGTTACTGTGGGACTCCGGAGTCAGGATTCCAAAACTTTTACGGGATTCCTCTCGCAGTCATAGAAGAGGGATCTAGATATCTAGGATCAACACATGTCTCCTCCGCACATGTAGCGAAGTAAATAGAAAATCCAAGCATCGTGTATTCGTAATCCCCGAAGGCCCGACACATTGGACGTAATGACCTAACCCTATATGCCCTCCACATATAGATCGTCGAGGATTACCTGGACGCCAACAGTTTGCCCTGTTACGGGTGTTGGCCATTGCCATTCTTACTGTTGGGTGTTTACGTAGGATTTTGGTAGGGCGCATTGACCGGAAACCTGGGATGAGCACAGATATCCGCGTCCACTCCTGGAGGAGAGGGTCATGATCTGAAAAGCAGGGAACTGAAGGCCACCGCGAAGGGACGTTTGAAGATATCAGCACTAAACTTGAATTCCCAAACCATACTTCTGTACAGACACTGAATGGGGACGAGCTGCCTCAACTCTGGCTTCTCATGTCTGGTCTGAGTCTTGTGGGACAAGCTCCAAGCCGGATGCTAAACCGACATTCTTCACGGGAAGAAGACGCTTCAAAAACTCTGGGTAAACACATCCTTCCACATGCCAAGAGGTACAACAAACCTCGTCGCTGATGAGCGCTAGTTCCGCAAGCAACTAAATTAAGAAAGACGGCCCATGTTCAACCGTCGCGACAACCCGTCTGAACAGTGTTCTCGAACTGTGTTGCACAGGACCAGTACCGCATCTGCGCGTCATTAAATGTACATGTTTCCGATGGTGTGGCATGATCATACATCAGTTCACGGGTTGTCTTAGCTCGACTGCCTCACACAGTCTTCAACAAAGTCGAGGCCCCCAATGCAATTTGCCTAAACGCATCCTGGAATGAGCCACGCGTTGACATGTCCTCAGGTCCTAAAGTTTCCCTATCGAGCGTCGAGAGTTCTATAACAGTTCGTAGGCCTGCATATGTGGCAAAACAGCACCCGTAGGGTGCCTTCATAAAATAGAAACCTCAGATCTTATACATCGGAGCCCTACAAAACCTGTTTAACAAAAAATGCAACCCCTATAGTACGAAGACTTGTGGTAGAAGCCTGTTCCAGTTATTGTGGCTCCATCTTACTGCATATTACGAGGACTTGCAGCAAAATCATGGCAAACACAAGTAATTCAGGTGCTTTTGATGACTAGAATAGGGTTTGCGGGTACCTTATCTTATCTTATACTATACGATACTAGCCTATACTTACTTGTTGTACAATTCCAGGCTCAAGTTTTTGCAATGAATCCCTAGGAATACTGTCGGTGATCCTTCAAGCTTCTATGGGAGCTTCCGAAAATGAGGGACCCTAATATCGTTCCCTAAATAGTAGGATCCTTATTATAAGCACCCCAAATAAGGTTCCCCCCAACTTCCGAAAACTCCTAGATCTGCCCGACCACCCGATTGCACTATATTTATTATAAGGACCAACCCCCCTCCCCCTCCCAACAAAAAAAAAAAGTATCGGTCATTATCTAGGCCCCTATACCATACCCTTAAAGTAGCCCTTATAGTAAACCCCTTTAGAGGAACCCTATTTTTTAGGCCACTATGTTAGTAGCGGATTGATCAAAGTCGACCCGGCGCCTCTAGCCGAGAACTGGGCCGAGGTTCCGGAGGCAGGGCTGGGGCCTGGGAAATGAAGAGGACTGATAGGGCCTAAGCTTGCATGGTAGCTTCCATAAGTCGTAGGATCCTTTGGAAACTCCCATGTATCATAATAGAACATCATACAGTACAATGTAGTACAAGGACTGATAGGGCATAAGGTTATATGGGGGGTTCCGAAAGTAGAGGGCTTTGATGTAGAAGCCTAAATTTCCGAAATTCACATATCATAATGGAAGATCATATATAATACAAGGACTGATAGGGCTTAATGTAAGATGTCATAACAGAAAATTATAAGTATTCTAACATATCATACAGTAAAAGATATCATATAATATGATATGATAGAGGGCAGGTTTGAATCGTAGAATGTTTCGGAATTTTGATAATGAGGTCTTATAGCAGATTTTGTAAGGTCATATGTGTAATGGTTGAACAAAGTACTTGCTGGTGTCATACGGCTTTGGGGGATGAGTTGCAGGCTCTAGGATTTGGGCATGGCTCTCTTTCTCTCTGGCGTGCCATCATCAAGAGGGTGCTTTAATATTGTGGGTTTAGGGGCTTGGCGCTTCGTGAGGTTTACCTGTACAGGGCTTTAGGGCTATGGTTTCGAGCACTAACGCTTTGAGGCCAGGGGGACAGGTGCAACGATCAGGAAGTTGAAACAAGGTGCTGTCAAGTGTGCATAAAGGTTTTTCGAGGCTGCTGGAAGGTCGTGCCAGATCACTTGTGGAGCCTGCGAAACCCTCGTCAAGGACTGGAGAAAGCGGATCTTCCCCCCAGTACGCTGCCTCCTCCACTTGTGGCAGGGGCCGGCTATCGCTGCGGGCCACCTGAGATCCACTGTTGGCGGGTCAGTTATGTTCGGGCACCACAGCCAAAAAAGAGGGGTTAGAAACGGTTAGTAGGTCAAGGCCGTCTGTTGACGGTACCGAGTTTCTTGTCAAGGGATACGAGTACAGCTGGAGCACTTCAGATCCCAAGATAAAAAGAGATCATAAGGACATAGACTCCGGCCTCGAGCCTTGAGATCGCGAATCCCCAAGACTTGCGACCGAAGCAAGCACCCCGAAACCCAAAGCTACCGGCAACGACAACTCCCGCTGAATGTAGTGACGTAGATATGTTGTGTGTTCAACCCCAGCTTAAACGATTTACCCCTGAATCCTGGATCGCGGCGTCTGATGTTGGAAACCACTTGTCATCTTATTCCGATATTCCTGTCTCCTCATTTTTCAGCTACCTGCAGGGCACTGGGGACGAAACCAGCAGCATCATTTCCAGGCCATGCCTCTGTCCTGCGCCCTGTGTTGAAGCGCCTGCAGGGATAAGGTTTATGAGTCATATCTTAAGCCGGAATAACCTCCCTTTTTAAGGACCTATATAAGGAAATTAAAATAAGGAACCCTAAAAAGGTAGGTTATTCCGGCTTAAAGTATGGGTGGCTGTCAAAATTAGGGTGCCTTTTTGGGGTCCTTATTATAATACGGCACCTAGTATTTAGGGGTACCCAAAATGGGACCCTAAGTTTGACAACCACCCATATAGGAGCTTCGGAGTTCGGGCTTGCGTTTAGGGCTTAGGGCTTACCTGGAGCCCCAAAGCAGTCAGAATAATGGCCTTTTTTATAGGTGCTGGGCCATGAGTTCACCTACTTCTAAGGGTTAAGTAACCTACCATCTCGGGGCTGCTTAAATATGATTTCCTTTTATAGATCCTGAAGAAGGTAGGCTATTTGCGTTTTAAGGGAAGGCTTCGGGCTCATGTTTTGGTGCGTCTTGGGCCCCCGAAATCCCAGGATCAATGTGGGACCTGGTACATGCAAGAGCTGAAGCAAGGCCCTACTACAAGGGCTTCATAGGTATATTATACTATTCCTTAGGGTTCCTTTCTTATAGCTATACGATTATATAAGAAACCCTAAGGAGCAGAATTCGTAATTCTTCGGGCTTCTATGTTGGGTAAAAGACAAGCTGCTCCAACCCTGCTGGAGAACGAGTTGTGTGGGCTTGGGTTCCCAGGGCATATTGCTGTAGGGAGCCCTGGGCATTAAAGCAGTACGGTAGGAAAGCACTAGAGCATGGCCTGGGGTGAATACACTATACTACCCGACTGCTACATGTCTTATAACTGCGTGAATGAACTTAAGACTACGACCTTAAAGACATAGGTTCTGGCTTAAAGGAAAAGAAAAATAAATGAACACAGCGAATGATACTGTCGCAACTAAATCTTCGGCGATTCGGGGCTCTTCCAGTCGACTCTGAATCCCCAATGCACCTGGCTTTTGCCGGAGGATGGAGATGAGCTCTGTAGCCTCCCAAAACAAGGAATGTTTGGGTGCATAAGCTTCCACGCTCGGAACTACCCGGACCCGTGGGATCAAATGCATAGTCCCTGGTGTCCACCACTTCTGGGGCCTAGGGTTTAGGGGACATGGGAAATGGAGTCTCCTCAAATCCTGAAACCGCATCTTTGTGCACATGGAGCACCGAGGTGCCAATCCTGCAGACTTTTTGAAATCCATTTTTGCCTCCCCAGGCAGGCAGAATGTTAAGACTTTGGCCCGTTTACGGCGCAGGCAACAGAAAAGCATACTATAGAGGCGTACATGGACCCTCAAACGGCCGGATGCTTGGCGAGTAGGTCAAGCTTGACAGTTAACTTGCGAGTTAAGCCAAAAACTAAGCAAGCACACGAGTGCTTAACCCGAAAGACTAAATGCCACTTCGGAAGAGAAGCCAAGCGTACGAAACCGACAAGCAGTAGCAAAGCCTTGTCGTCTGCGCACCGACATACACGATGTACCCTACCTAGAGTGTCCATTGTAATTCCTGTTTTCGGTTAACCAAAATCTCTATTATAAGATCCTAACCATAAAATTGGTTAACCAAAACAAGGAACTACAATGGAGACGATAGGTAGACCTAGTTAAGCTACAAACCTTTACAGTCAGCCATATGGCTGAAAGCTAAAGGCCCTTATCCCAAGCCTAAACCCGACATGCCGAAGCTTTAGCAGAACTACCAGAACGCCACAGAGTGCTAAACCAAGAAACCTCAAAACTCAAACTCGCCAAACCTCTACCCACATAACCCATTCCATATATATTTATATATACACAATGATTATGTGTATATATATATACATAGATAACACTTTGAGGCCCTAGAAGTACTACCCAAGCCGTCCGGCCTCGCTGTCGCGTGAAATGCTCACAGCCGCAGACACGACTTCTGCTCGGAGGCGTTCCTGGCAGCCTAAACCCTACCTAGACCCTAAAGAACCTACCTTTTTTGGGGTTCCGTTCTATGATTTCCTTATAATAAGTCCATAAAGGGGTAGGTTCTTTAGGGTTCAGGTAAACCCTAAACCCTGACATGCAGCTCTTTAGTTGCGGCTTCAGGGTTCTCCGTGGATGTTTGGGGCTCTTTCGTTCAATGTTCACGGTTCTTTAGTTTACATGTAGCCGGTAAACATCCTACCTTTTGAACGAGTTATATACAGAAACTCCTGATAGGAAGGTTTTTTTGCGACTATTGATAGCGATTGGTGCTTAGGGTCGTGGATCCTCGAATCAGTAAAAGGCTGTAGAGGGAACCGGATTGAGTGGAGGTTATGGAGTTTGGGTAGGGGTACCCAATGTAGGGACCCGAAAAACCAGAAAATTGGGTTCTTGTAAACGGGTCTTCCACGGTGCTGCAGCGCCGATTGGTGGCTTTGGGGTTGGCTCGAAGGCCTTGAGAAGGCTTTGGGCTTGCGATTCGCTGGGAAGGGGTTTTGGGTTTGGGCTCGTTTCCAGGGAAATTTTGAAGCCAAGCTTACAAGGGGCTTGACTCGCACGGCTGGGTGAGGGAATATGCCGTCCACCCCGAACACCGCCCATACCATACGTTTTAAGTTTGACACAAGAACTTGTACATGCCGGCCATACCATACCCTAAACCCTTCCCAGCCCCTGGGCTTTGAGCCTCTCCCCCAGAAAGCCCCAAATCCAGCCTCCCTCATAGAAATCCTTCGCTCTCGGTTTATGTTAGGGGAGCCAAAGGTTAACCATTCGGGAGTATATAGCGACCATAGTACCCCCAAAAAGGTTACAGCTAAAACCTGGTCGAACCTCCGACGAAAGCACCCACCCTATAATGGGCTATATAATGGGTAGAAAATAGCTATACTAAGGGTATATACCTAGGGGTCCTTATTAAGGGTCGGGCCTCGTAGACATCACCTTCGCCTTGGATCTGGCCGGGCTCTGCAGCCTCCGCGGGCCTTCGGAACCGAAAGCCGCTTCCGGACGGCTCTTGGGCCTACTACGGACCCCTGGTGAAACAACGCACCCCATGGTTTCGAGATGTTTTGGGGGACCAGGACCCTATATAATATTGGGATCCCGACTGTGGCACTTGCAATCGAAGGCAGGCGAGGTTCATAATCGGGGTCTACACTACAAGTAGGGGCTCATTTGGTGCGGGGTTTCACCTCGATGCTTCGGGTCATCAGGGTGAATGGAGATCCCTGACTAATCAAACCGCCGCTTCAACAAAAACCTAGCCTGATTATGGTGGCTACAGTGGTTATGTTTTGGATGTATATACGACTTTGCAGCCAGCACCCTGGGCTTGCTTGACGGGCCAGTGATTGTCGAGACCCTTCAGCCGCCAAGAACCCAGGGCTCGGACATGCGGGGACCGTATTTATTTAGTTTCAAGATTCAGGATCCGGAGGGCTCTTCTCGACGATGGGTTTATGGGGTCCCTCGAAGCTTGTTGCGATGTTCTGGCTGGGAAGGGATTGTGAGGGAAAGCTTGTGCAAAATATCTTAGCCGTAGTAGGTACCCTTACAGCTTCTGCACACTCTGACAACAACACAGAGTCGAAACACTCCAGAGACGAAGCTCCTCGACACCTTACAAAGCCTCACACCCCTGGGCCTGACACAAATACAGCCTGAACCCTTAACCCAGGTACTAGACGTGCTTTTTCTTGGAGAAGGAAGCCTGAGAACCTCGCCCTAAAGGCTTCTTGAAGGGGCCTGGAGCTTCCTGTTGTTCCTTGCTTCTTAGGGGCCGAATATCCTACCCCAAAACACGGCTACCCTTCCGAGTCTATAATAACACCCAGAAGGTTAAATGTTACCTACTCAGCTGCTATGCTTTTGGTGCATCCAACATCAGAAGGCCTTGGGGCAGGCGTTGAAAGTCGCGGAAGGACCTGGGCGTGGATCACTAAGCCCTTCGAATGCTAAACTACTGCGCGTGAAAAACTTCAAAGCCCAAAACCCTGAAGGGTTTATGGTATAGAGTGTTTACAGGGTATATAGACAGCGAAAGCCTCAACCCAGACGCAGAAGAAGCTTGAATCGAATCCACAGGCAAGGGAATTGAGAGCTGTGGCTTGGACTCTGATTCACTGTCTGAAGCCGGGAACCCAGACAAGAACGGAACCGACAACACAGCAAAGGTTGGCATGACTCGCTAGGCTTGGGATAAGATTTCGGGGAGTGCTTTCACCATAAACCCTAAACCGTCAGCTTTTGAAACACAGACCACCTCATCTTGCATTCATACCTCTATAGATCTCTATATAGTATCCTTCAGAACCGATACAGATGGGTCTTGGTTGGTCGTAGACCTCTTTCCCAACTTACCCAGAGTTCAGGGGCGGAGATTTCCATTCTAAACCCTTGGCCCTAACCCCAGAGCAATTTTAAATCCTAAACCCCGAAACTCTCATGCCCTCTGGGGTTCATGGAGGGTTTACCCCTAAGCCCAGTGCCCTCAACTACGGAAGCTTTTTAGTCTGCTCCTTTGCCGCCGGATCTTGGCAAGCTCCGTCTGGTTCGTAAGGCCTTCCAATGCTGACTGACCCTTTGTTCCCTTCAAATCCAAAACCAGAACCCTCCAAATACTTCCAAAAACGAGTCTCATTCATATATGTCATCAATGGGTATTTGCTGCAAGACAAGGCTCTTAGGGTGATGTAGGTCAACCCGACAGGATCTAATCGAAATCCAGCAGTCCACAGCGAGAGCAAAGATCCTAAATGCTCTGGCCTGCTTGGACCCCCAAAATCTGTAGAACACCAGCCTTTTATGGGTGTTGGGCCATGATTTTACCCTTCTTTGGGGGGCTTTGATCTCGGTAATTCGACCAGATTCCGCTTCGGAAGCTCTAAGGCGTCTACGCTGAGCTTTCGGATCAACCGGTTCAGGCCTTTCGGGGGGGAGGGGGGAGGCTTTACCCTGAGCGTGTATAGGAGTTTCCGAAAATAGGGGACCCTAATACAGTACCCTAAATAGTAGGATCCTTATTATAAGAACCCCAAAATAAGGTACCCCTAATTTTCTGAAACTCCTGTATAGGGGACCTTTTTTGACTACTTGACTCACGTCTGGCCAGAGCACGGCCTAAACCCTAAAAAGCGTTTATAGGGCCTACACGGCAGGGTTTGGTGCTTTCGGGTTGACGGTGGTTGCTTCTTTTTGTGCTCTGCATGTTAGCATCGGGGAGGCCTACCACTGCAATACAAAATCTAAGAGCAAACTCGGAAAGGTCCTAGAAGCTTCATGTCATGCGTGTGCATATATAACATATACATAGGACCTAGGGTTGGAGCTATATCTGTTGCATGGTTTGGGCTCAAGCTTCGACGCTTGATGGCAAAGAGCTTAAGGGCTTCTCAAAGATTGAAGCGCATTTGTGGGGTCACAAGCAAGAGATGGACCAAAACTCCACATATAGTCTTCAATGCAATGCCTGTGTTGGCTGACTTGCTTCTGGAAGATAACAGAGGACCCTACGTTTGAACAAGCCTTTCAGATTGCCTGGCGATTGCATTACACTATATTAGTATTGACAATTGACAATTGAGCAAAACGAGGATTCCGGCCTTCGATAAGTCTCCACGGCACTTGTGCCCACGTAGCCTCATGCATGGCGACTGCTGTTCGCAGTACTGCTCGGGTTTCACAGGCTTTTCTTCTCGGGAGTTCATTTTAGAAATATAGTTAATATAGTTTGGACCCCTTTAAAGAACTGGGGTTTATAGGGCTAGCACATCACGGGTTACATCTCCGGATGCTCGGTACATTTGGGCAGTCTGCTAGAGGCTCTACCGAGGATCCAGGACGCGTCACGCGTCTTCTGTGTCCCGGCCGCGCCAACCTACAGCGCCTCTAGACCTGCTGTGGCCTCCGAAGCGCAAAAGTGATATTCCCTCGATGGCCGCAAGTCGCCCCTGGACTTTGAAGAGTTTCGATGCACAGACGCGCATCCGGACAATGGCGCTTCTCAGATTAATTGTGGCTTCGGAATTGGATTTGGGCTTTGTGAAATCTGGACTGTTGCCAGAGAGAAGAAGGCAGGATCCCCGTGCCGTAGATTAGAAATAAACCTCAACAAAACCTCAGCACTATGCGATTATGATGATTTTGAGCATTTGGTTCTTCAGGAAAAGGCCAAGGTCGTTGAACTGCACCTATTTTGGATCTTAAGTTCATGCGCTTGAATTTTGTCCCAAGATTTGAGATAGCTTTCCCTTGGCTCTGGTGCCTTAGCTTCCTCCCTCTGTCTCTCTCTCTCTCTCTCTCTCTCTCTCTCTATACCCCGACTTCTTTGGCTACTGGACTCAAGTCTAGCAAGACCACGACCATAAACCCCCAACCCCGAACCCGAACAAAAACAAAGCTCTGAAACACAAAAAACCGAAAACCGCCAGAAAACAAAACAGCACCCTAAACCCTAATCCCTATAAACCCTAGTCCCTAAACCTCAACCCCAAACCCTAATCCATAAACCCGATTCTTCGCCCGAGTTTCCCGGGCCGCCCCAGTGCCACGCTTCGCTGCCACAGCATCCTCTCACGGGTATCGAGGTTCCCTTTCTTGGCTTCCTTGAAAGGGCTCTATAAGGGCTTCTATAATATTTCTGTAGGGGTACTAACCGGGTACTATAAGGGCAGATCTCCAAAACTAGGCTTCTTTTAGGGTCTTTTCCAGAAGAGTGCCGTATTGATTTGTTTTTGGGATCTGCCTCTCACGGCCGTAGCATCCCAAACCGTTGGGAGCCTGAATCTCGGTGCCCTAAGCCCATGTCGAATGCGAAGGAGGTCTATATATAGCGTTTAAGGCTTAGGGTGATGTAAGGCGTCTTGGCCGGCCAGGGGTCGGGACTTTGCCCATTGCTGAGAGCGTTTTGGGTTTAGGGTGATGTGAGACGTCTTGGTGGGCCAGGGGTTCGGCAGGCACTTTGCTGGCCTGGGCTGGTTTTTGGTGTTAGCGCCCAGCGACGGAGTCCGTCCACAACCCCTGAGCTCGAAACCCCTGTGCTCCAACCACAAACCGAGACCTCAAACCCACAGTTGTAACAATAGATCCCAAACACAAGAATGATGAAGTAGTGACTTGTCAGACCCTGGCCGAGGCCCGTGAAGAAATTCCGGCGGAGGTAACTCTGCCAGTTCTATCCAGTTCCAATCTGGGGAGTCTGCAACTGTGAGAGCCGTAATCAGAACTTGTCGTGAATCCCGAACTGCGAACCCTAAGCCCCAAGCCCCAAACAAAGCCTATAAAACCCAAACAGCCCATAAGCAATGCGGACCCCTGATCTAAAAGAGTATCACCTTAAAGGGAAACCATATTGTTATAACAAGTTGTGGCGGAAAACAAAAGAAAATAAAGAACATCTATCGGATCCCTGAGAGCTTAGTTAGGCCTACAAGGGACCCTTAGATGGATCCATTCTTGCAAGGAACCCCCAACAGGGACCCCAAATCTGAGAAGGTCCAGCCAGCACTCGCCGTAGACCTCAGAGAGCTCGCCGAAGAAATCCAGCGCCTCGGAGCAGGAAAAACAATAACGATAGGGTTCCTTTTACAAGGCTCCTTTAATTGGATTCAATAGAAGCTACTATATCTATAAGTGTTTTCATAATTTAGCGGCTGCTGCTGTTACCGCTGATACAACGACAACGACGACTACTAATGTACCACTACTTCCACCACCACCACCACCACCACCACCACCACCACCACCACCACCACGAATACTGCAGTGACAATGAACATCTGCCTCAGCTGCAAGACACAAGAGGCCTCGCATGAAATCTGGGTGGGTCGGGCAGGGCGAATGCCAGAGACAAGTGCTCCCTGCGCACGCCATGCAGAAACGTTGCCCAGCAGGTCCGGCAACAAACGGCTTTAGGGCTGAGCTGGGCGAACGAGCACTAATCGTGGCAGAATCAGACTGAAAGTGCAGCCCAAGCAGCAGGATGCCACCACATTCCTCCAACAGGCACTGGGCCTGTGAGTGGTGTACAGGTCTATTCAGGTACCTCGTGCGCATGTGTGCATGTGCGCATGTTACCTATGAGGTCAGCATCATATCATATCTGACCAGAGTCATCCCGAGACACATCGGAAGCACCCTGAACCCTAAATCCAGAGATGTTCGGCTTTCGAAGCCCGCTTGGGCATTGTCCCCCCAACACCGTACAGCCCTTGCCTGGCCGGCCCAGAATGAACCTGGAAGCTCGCAGGTTACGTCGTGGATACTTGAGGTTTAGGAGCTTTGGGCCCGGGGTTGAGGGTGTCGGTTCTCTGCCAGATGATGTACGGCTCAGGGCTTTCAAGTCTTTTCGAGGAGGCATTTCGCCCACAGCTAGCTTGTACTAGAGGCCTTGGAGACATAAAGAAACTACAGGTCTTATAAGGAGAACTAAACGGCATTTTTTGAAATCTTTGACTAATTATGCAGGTCCCCTGACCATTCCAGAAGCTTCAAGAGGAGAGGAGGCTATGGCTTTAGGGTTAAGAGGTCTGGGGCAGGGCAAGGTCGACGTAGGGCAAGCCATTAGGTTCACAGCTTTCGCATCTCAAGTTTCAGGTCAGTACCACAAACTCGCATAGATTGCATGCTGTTTCACGCCATGTCGCCCCGACAATATGGTGCTACAATACAGGGAGTCTAGGTAGGCTTTGAGGGTTTCGGCTTCGAACTCAAGAGAGCAAAGTTACCACGCAGCGACAGATCCTGCTGCCAAGGCGAGGGACACATCGTACTGCAGCCGGTCGAAGTGGGCAACCACCTGCTCCAAACTCTACTATAAACCTCATAGGCTATTTGGTTGCTCTGCAACAACATATGATCTGCACAGGACCGCGTTGGCGGGTCCGAGACGCTACGAGCTTTGAACCAAAGCACTCAGACCTTACATGCCCCAAACCCCAAACCCCGCATGCACCCTGAAGCACCAAAAAGACAGCGGGTACCTCTGGAAAGCCTTGTGTGGCACATGGCCCACGACGCCAAAGATCGGAGACCTCCTGTGGACTCTGAAGGCTTTGAGGATAAGAGCTCAGGGTTTGACTAGAGTCTACGGTATCAGGGCTCTCGGCTTCCATCTTCATGTGATGAGACATCCAGATAAAGTTCATGCAGCTTCGATTCCTTTGCGATACACGGTCTACCAGTTGCGATTTAAACATGCGCAGCCTGTGCAATTTGTCTTGAAGGAGCATGCCAGTGATTCTTCGTGGCTTTTTGTGCATTCACAAGCTCCTAGGAACCCATGAACTGCCAACGAGCGTCCCTTCTTTTGCAGGGCTCTTGGCATAGGTTTGGTGTACAGTACAATCCAGACCGCAAACCAACCCACGAGAAATTCAAAACCCTTGATCCTGCCAACCCGACCGATCCAACCTCAGAGAGTTCGGGCTTTTGGGGATTCATGGTGAAGGGTTGCTGGGTGTTTCCTTGCTACTTGTAAGCAAAGACGAGGCCCGCATTGCGACGGCGCTCAGGAATCTGAAGGTTTGCCTGAAAGTGGGGGGAGGGGTATGTTCAACAGCTATGCGTACCAAAACCAGTTGTTCATCCCGCAGTAGGACCTTTCGCTACCGTTCACGGGGTGTCGGGCTGAGTGCATATAGGGTCTGGGATTTGGGGTCTCAGAATTTCTCGTTGCAGTCTTTCCGTGCTTCTCAGGAGTTTACCTTAAGGTTCTGGACCTTCTATTTTCAAGCCAGCTGCGAAGATCACCATTGCCACCCGCCCGGCACGCAGGGTTGCATCTGCGCCGCGCACGACGCAAGGCTCCTTAGGCAGACATGTTCTCTTTAAGGGTTCATGAGTACCCGCATAGCAGCAAGAAGGGTCTTGTCTTCGACAAAACTCGTACGGTCCTTGGGATCCCTTGGCTTTCAGAGCCAGGCCGAACAAGCACGAGAAATACAAAGATCCAAACACCTACATGCCCGTAGACAAGCACAACCATAAATGTAAGCAAGCCGGCAGGCAAGCAAACAAAAAAATATGCGCACGCACACACAGATAACACACGAGAAAGCAAACAACATCACTCGAACGATGGTCTTCTTTCCATGTATTTATTATATGTATCTGTGTGTGTGTGTGTTGTGTGTGTTGTGTGTGTTGTGTGTGTTGTGTGTGTGTTGTGTGTGTGTGTGTGTCTGCGTGTGTGTGTGTGTGTGTGTGTGTGATAGGACTATCTTGGTCTCGGGTTCGCAAAGCCTCGAATTGTTGCACTGTTGTGTGCCGATCCTCTGCCCACACTACATACACGAAAACCCGTACACAAATCCCAAAGGAGACATAAGCCGATCACGGGGACAAATCTTCCGCCTAACCCACAGTGCTGTTTTTCTTCATGTTCGTAGGCAGGGTTGAGCCCGAAATTCCCGTGCAGCCAACTGTCTTGCCCGTCCACGTCCACCTGCCATTCACAGCAAGACGATGCAAAACGTGAGCCATGATAGTTTAAGATACGAGGGGCGCGAATATCTGTTCTGCGCCGTCTTTGATGATTCCCGAGGCTTCCGAGCAACTATACACCTTAGAACCCACAAACCCAAAAAGGTGTCTGCCCCTGTTTCGCCTGAATACTACCCCTTAGCCCTGAACCCGAAAACCGCAGCTCCTACAACCGGTCGTGCCTTCAGAATGTCAATGGCTCCACGACCGTCCTGAGCTTCATGATGGGGGCTTCGGTTTAGGATTTATGGGGCTTGGGCTGCAGGACTTAATTCGCGTCTTGATGCATCGTGGGACTCAAAGGCCCAGGGCTGTCAGTAAATTATCTACAAGGTGCTTCTACTCACCGCCGCAAGTAGCGGATCTCATGGCCATAGTATATACATTTCCCCCAACCCTAAAGCACCCAAACCGGGGGCGGATCATGTGGCGCTCTTTGGGCTTCGCCCTTTTGTCGTATGGGCTTCAGGTCCGGGGCTAAGGAGAAGAATCCAACCCTGAAAGGGTGGATTCAAAACATTACCCCTAAGGGTCCATGTACCCAAATAGTAGATACTTTGGCCTTCAAGTAGTCCCTGTATAGGTACTTTGGGGCCTGAGTATATACTCTTTAGGTACATGGACCCTTAGGGTACGGAAGAATACTACGGTTTTCAGCACTCACGACTGGGACAAGCCTGGCGAGGTTACCGGTCAAGAACACTGCGGCTTACGGTTTCGACTCGCACACTCGCTCTCGCAGGCACGGCTTCTTGGTCTTAGCTTACTACCTTTACTACCAGTAGCGTTATTTCACTAGCCGGTGCAGCTCCTGACAGCAATAAACTACAACTAAGGAACAGGATGGACTCAAGCACACGGTCAAGGCCGCACGACTTACGGTTAAGGTCTTATGGGGCTTAGGAGCCAAGGTCTTCGCCCTGGGTAAAAGCGACACAGAACTTGGCAGATACATGACACATAAAAAACAGACCATCCAACTAACGACCCTCTGTGCAAAGACTCTCACAGGTAACGCGATTGAGGGTTCGTCTTGGACTCTCTCAATTCCGGCCCCGCAAAGAAACAACACCCCTAGTCCTCAGGCAATTCTCCTTCAATCTATGTTCCAACTGCTAAAACCCAACAGCCCTTCGGACTCGGAAAATCCGAAGGGCGAGGAGGGTGTCGAGGGTAACCAGCTCTTCCGTGAACCGCTGCGGTTGATCGGGCTCCTTTTTTTGAAAGAAAACTCAGCAAAGCTGTACTGCCCAGGAAACTATGATCTACGACACATCTTAGCCAGTCGTTGGATCGGGCTCCTGGGGGGGGGGGAGGAGTTTTTGTTTTGGGTGATGGTGATGTAAGCTTCACGTATTGAAAGTATTGAGTTTAGGCTATGGGGCTCCTGGTGGGTCCAGATGCGGGGGCCTATTTTAGCCTCTAAGAACCTACTTGGCACTCTGGATCCGGATCAGTTGTGCAGAGATCGTGCTTGCAGCAGGATCGCTCGTGGGGGGGCTCTGCCAAAGCCCCAATTACTGCAGGAAACTGCGTAGGTGAACATTCCAGATCTTGACCTTCAAAAGAAATCTTTACTGATCCTAACTCCATAGTCTTGAATTTGCTGCCTTTTCCGTTACATGTATGGCAAAGATATAATTAATTACTGGGATCGCTAAACAAGAGAGATGTGGGCAAAAGCAGGACCAACCACGTTGGCGACGACAGGTTGCTGTTAAGGTACATTAGGCCAAGGTCCTTACAGTGTACCGGCCCAAATGATTGCGAGATTCTATTTGTTGCATGGATATAGGCGGTGGGCTTGAGTTTCGGTATGAAGGAGGTTTGCTGCAACGGGGTTCAAGAAAAAACCTTGTGTCAGCATTCAGGGTGTTGTGTGGACCTACTGGCGATGCAACACGACGTCCAAACTTGGAACCACGAATGATGGTCTTCAGCTTAACAGTTTGACCTTTGTTGTGCTGTTGGAGCCGTTCCCCTATTTTGAGCTCCTGTTAGTTTGGTTAACCTTTAAGAGGCGGGGCTTGGTTCTACACGAACTTGAGCTGTCGGGACTGCCGAAACTAAGGTGATGTCTGGTGAGCAGATTGGACGAAACCCTCGTAGGTTACGAAGGAAAAAGAGCCCATGAACGCCGGAAGCCGTCTAAGTCCTGACACTCCAAAGATCTGAATCCAAGGGTAAAAGGAGGGACCCTTATTAAGGACCCCTAGGTATATACCCTTAATATAGCGATTATATACTCATTATTATATAGCCCATTATGGGGTAGGGGTCCCCATTAAACGTCCCTCCTTCTCCCCCTTGACTGAAGGAAGGGCCGAAGCACGTGGGGCGGATTTTTTGTATTGCCACGTCTTCTGCAACGTCCCATCACAGGCTTCACGATGCCAATGACATCGCGGAGCCTTTTTATCTGAGACATGCCTTCGCCGGGCTGTCAAAAAGCCTTCTTTGCCAACTGGCTCCCTCTGGGTGAGTTATGTGAACCACACCTAAAGTTATCTATAGGGCTTTCTGAACAAGCTCACTATGTGCCGGCTATACGGCTATATACACTACTGCAAACCGCAAAGGCCATCACTCTTCATCTTGCTCATGCTGATGCTGCTTTTCTTGCAGAGGGGGTGTGGGATTCGGCCTGTTCCGTGATACTTATACTGGGATACTCCGACCGCAAGAAGTGCCAGTAGGTGAGCCCCCTAAAGCTCGACAGACTCTAAATTGTGCTATGGACGGCACAAGTACCCGGACATACAAACTGTGACTTGCGCGTCTTAATAGAACTTGAAACATAGATGCTCTTATGGATATCGTGGTTCTCCCGATGCAGTCTCTGACGAGTGATAGTAATGGTACTCAAGCACGACTCCTTGGAAGAAGTAGGACTAGAGCCTACGGGATTATGAGGTTCTGGATTATCAAGGCAATGGGCTCAAAGCTTTACTGAAGCACTCACCAGTAGAGCGTGTCCGGGAAGAAGCGCTGGATCTCAATGATGCCACCGGCCTTTCAACAGGCAGCCGTCTTGCTTCCACGGTGTTGTGGGGATCTGTGGAGATGTGCGGGTTGCCGAAAACAGGGGACTATACTCTAGTACCCTAGATAGTAGGATCCTTATTGTGAGGACCCCAAAATAGGGTACCCCTCATTTTCGGAAACTCCCATATGACACTGTCTGAATATTTCATAAGGATCCTCGCAGGAAGCAAGCGCTCTGGCATCCTCAACCCGAAAATCCAAACCCCAGTGCCAGAGCAACAGAGACCTTAAGGTGTAGGAGGCTGGCCTTAAGGTGTGTGAGGTACCAGTCATAATACTCCTTAAAGCCTTAGAACTATTTATGACCATTTCTAAACAGAGCCCTAAGCCTTAATATTCCTTTATGAAAAACTACACCCCTAACCCCGGAACCCTAAACTAACTACTCGGTCTACTGCATCAGCCGTGGAGCGGTGAACAGGATCAGGCCGGAGAAGAGGTTCACCTTAGCTGCAAGATTCTACTCTTGAGGCTTCGAGCTTAGGGTTCAGGGTTCAGGGTTTATAGGGTTTAGGAGCTTAGGGTTTAGGAATTTAAGGGTTAGGGTTTAGGAGTTCAGGAGTTTAGGGTTTCGGGTTTAGGAGTTTAAGGGTTTAGGGTTCAGGGCCTGAGGCTTCGAGCTGAAGGTTCAGGGGTTAAGGGGCTTTGGGTTCAGGGTTTCAGGAGTTAAGGGTTCAGGGTTTTCATGTTCCGGGTTTAGGAGTTTAGGGTGTTGGTCCCAGCTACTTAGCAAGGACGAAGCCCGCATTGCAGGGTAGGGGGTTTAAGGTCTAGGGTTTGGGGGCTCAAGGCGGGTTGAGGGTTTAGGTCCTTGGGGATCACTGGCTTCGAGAGTAGGGTTTGCTCGCTTTGGCAGGGTTCTGGGGTTCACACCACAAGAACCCAAACTCAAATCTCCGCACGTTTCTGGAGGTATACATACATACACGGATTTTGATATATACCTATAGATCATACATGTTTAATATGTATACTTGCTTGTGTGCGTCTATGCACAAACATATGTTTGGTACTTTATGGATCAAATCGGCCATACCTCCGATAGACTCGACTGCACGCAAAGACTAGGCCAATACCCCTTAGATTATGCTCAGGTGATTTCATATAAACCGTAGCAAGAAAGATGCCCTGTCAACAGCTTTCGGGGACCACGAACGCACTAGCTAAAGATCTGTTGTTTTGCTTCGGCTTTTGTATAAAACTTGCTTGCGTGCATTGCAACCCAAGACTCATGGGGCCCCATGAAAAGCTTTTACATCCTTCAGACCATAAACCACGAGCAGAAACTTACCCTACACCCTTCTTCCCACTGGGCTCAGGTCTCCAAACCTTCAAACTTACCTTTGGTTACTAAGGAATGGAAGAATGGTAGTAATAGTAGTTATAATTGTAACCCATTCCTCCATTCCCTACTAACCAAAGGTAAGTAAACTCAGGCAAAAGCTACGCTGCAAGCGCCAAACTTCGAAGGCAAGTCGCGTTGAGAGACAGCCAAGCCTTAATGTCCTCGGACTCGACGACGGGCGTGATGTAGGAGATCTGCCGTTTCTCTTAGGTTTGAGGTCGTTGTTTTCGGATTTCGGGTTTCGGCGCTCACATTCGGACGGTCGGGTTCGAGGTCTGCTGATGATATGAAACGGCCTAACGGGAGCTTGACGACCAAGACACAACCAACCCCAACAGGATGCGGGTTTCGTGCTTGGGGTTCTGGGCTCGTTTGCGGTTCCATAAGCAATTTACAGTATAGCGGTTCGGTATGGGTTTAAGCTCTCGCCTCTCACAACTACGACAAGCCGGGGGAGTTGCATGTTTGTGCACAGCTGCAGGCCAGGCGGCCACATTCAGTCAGGCATCTGAACTGGACGATGTCTTGTCATTGGTGTTCGTGCAAGTGCTCACGCAGCCGTGCGGGCTTTCGAGTGCTGTCTCGGCCGCCATAGCGCCGGTAGTGGGCACATTCGGCCACTCACCCAGCCAGAAAGACTTCGCTTCGGATTCAGGCGAAGCTGGTGCCATCTGGTGCATCCGTCGGACTGCCTGCTTTGCTGACAGGCTGAAGCGAAGCCGGGCTGCTGCCACTCGAGGCAGCCACGCTGACAGCCTTCCGAAAGCTGCTAAAACCGCCTCTTCCAGCTGCTCTTGTTCTGCACACAGAAGACAAGCTCTGGCTTTCGAGGAACGGCCGGTGCAGGGTTTATAGTTTCTAGGGTTTGAAAGGTGTTCGACAGGGTTATAGGACTTTAGATATAATATAGTAGATCTGACTTTGCTCTAGACTGTAGGCTACCGTTTGGAACTGCTGGGAAGGATCTAAGATTTGAGACTGGAGGGTTTTCGTTGAAGGGCTTACAATAGCTTTGCGTGGGTTTGTACCGGCTGGGAAGTAGGATTTAGGCGTATGGCGTATCTGATGTAGGAGATGGGATAGTGCTCCAGAATGTGTAGTTGTAGGCTTCCCGAAGACTCCGAGAATCCGCGAACGAAGGACTACTCAGTTAAAAGTATTGGCTTATAAGAGCTTAACTAGGGTTCTTGGAGTTTGTAGAGAGGGCTTTTCAGATATTGCTTAGAAGGGTTGGACTTTCCGGTCCTCAGCATTCAGGGGGCTCAAGCTGCCGGGACCTGCATCTCTGCGTCCAATGGATGTCATGTAATTCGCTTCCCCTCTCTCTTACAACACCTATGCCTGCCACATGGGCGCAGGTATCCCATAGCCAGATATATGTAATGGTTCGGCAATATGGCAGCCTAAATACGTGCAAATGCTACTTTCGGGGTTCCTTATTATATCTATAGTATAATGGGCCCCAAAACCCTATTCTACTAATTGCGACCCCTATATATAACGATTTACCGAAATCTGTAGCAAGCGCCTGATTGCTGGCACCGGTGGACAGCTGGAGCTCCGGTTGGTCCCAGTCGTTGGTCTTGATGGCCTTGGGGTTCTCATAGGGTCTAGGGTTTAGGGTTTAGGGGTTCTCATATGGTCCCTATCGGGATCTGAGAGGGCACATATAATGCTAAACCATAAAGACCCTAGATCCTAAACCTATAAGGGCTTGATGAGCTCTTGTCGAGCTATCCTGGGCCTGATAAAAGGTATCTTTGGTATGAGGTCTCCGTCACTTCAGGATTCGGCTTAGGATTTCATGGGGACTCGCTGTCTTTG